TTCAATGAGATTTTCATCAAATTCATAAAAGTTTTTGTGAAAATTAACAAGCTTATTTTAAGACTTATATGAAAGTACCAAGGCTTCAAATATATAATCCTTAGGAACGCAGCAAGTGGACTAGCTCTCAGAGATGATAAGTTGTGTAAAGTTACAGTAATTTAGACTATTATGTAATGGCATGGTGATAGAAAGCCTAACTGAACAGATGACAGCCCCAGTCAGACCTGTGACTATATGGACATCTGACAAATGAGAGTGCTTTTGCGGGTCAGTGGGTAAAATATGAACCTTATAGTAAGGTGATGCTGGAAAGAAGTAAAATACAATCATTACCTCACACAAATACACAAAAATCTCTTCTACTTAGGTCAAAGACCTAACTGGGAAAAGCAAATCTGTGTTTGAGGTATTAAGAAGATAACATTCATTCTCAAAGATATATACACCTCTGTTGATTGCAGCACTATTCACAGTGCCCAAGATATGGAAACAACTAAAGTGTCCTTTGATAGATGATTGGACGTGGTGCATACATACTACTCAGCCATAAGAAAAGATGAAATACTGCCATTTGCAACATGCATGGGCCTTGAGAGTATTATGCTAGGCAAAATAAGTCAGTCAGTAAAAGCTAAGAACAATATAGTTTCACTTATATGTGGGATATAAAACTCAAACTCAATAGACACAGACAACAGTATGGTGGTTACCAGAGCCAAGTGGGGGTTGGGGATAGTAAAGGGTAAAGGGGACCAAATATATGGTAGATAGAAGTTGATTTGATTTGGGGTGGTGGGCACACAATACAGATCATGCATCATAGAAATGTATACTTGAAACCTATATGGTCTTATTAACCAATGTCACCTGAATAAATTTAACTCAAATAAAATGACATAAATTTTGGTTCACATTTCTTCTGTACCAGTTGGGTTTAGAGTAAGCAGCAGGGACAGAACCAGATGAGTTTTGCCTCTTTCCCATTTCCCCTCAGGGGAGGTCTGAGCGAGGAATGAGGCAAGAGGCCAGGAGGGTTGCTCTGGGAAAGCAGAGTGGGGAGCAATGTAGAACTCCCCCTAAACTGCATCATAAAGTCCAACTTTTGGCTAAAAAAAAAAGATAATATAGAACAATAGCTTTAAGACCTCCTTCTCTTTGAGGTCATAAATCAATAATAAAAAGAATACATAAAAGAAAACTAGTTACAGTAAAGTTAAATTTTTTAAATCTTTATTGATTTTTTTAGAGAGAGAGAAAAGGAGAGAAACTTTGATGTGAGAAACATCGATTAGCTGCCTCCTGCATGCCCCCTTCTGGGGATCAAGCCCACAACCTGGGCATATGCCCTGACCGGGAATCAAACCGGGACCTCTCAGTCCCCAGGATGATGCTTAATCCACTGAGCCACACTGGCTGGGCAGTAAAATTAATTTTTATTCATCAAAAAGTACCACCAAGAATGGGAAAAGATAAACAACATCTTGGGAGAACATATTTGCAAACATGTAACCAATAAGAATTGGTATATGGAATATGTGAAAAATTCCTATGAACTGATAAAAATAGGCAAAAAGACTGGGAATGAAAATTATAACTATAATTCATGCCTAAAGTCCACTAGATTAGCAAGGATTAATAAGCCTAACAAAATTAAGTATTGCCATGATTGTGAAGTGAGCTCTCAGGGCTCGATGTGGTCAGTGAACTTTGGAAAGTAAGCTGATTGTGCACACAGTAAATGACCTAGCATCATCACTTTGGAGAAGTTCTTGCACACCGTTAAGAGACACGTAAAGCAGTATTTATGACAACACTGCTTGTGATAGCAAAGGCAAGCAACAAAAAACTACAAATAACTCAAGGATCTATAAATAGAATTAATAAATATTATAGCATATAGTTACATACCACTTAATGATGGGATACGTTCTGAGAAAAGTGTCGTTAGGCAATTTCATCCTTGTGTGAACATCACAGAGTGCACTTTACAAACATAGATGGTATAGCCTACTAGCTATATGATATAGCCTATTGCTTCTAAGCTACAAACCTGTGCAGCATGCTACTGTACTGAATACCACAGGCAACTCTAACACAATAGTAGGTATTTATGTATCCAAACCTATCTGAACAGAAAATGTAAAGATATGATATAAAAGATAAAACATGGTGCACCTGTGTAGGGCCCTGGCCATGAATGAACCTGGCAGGACCGGAAGCTCCTCTGGGTGAGTGCGCAAGTGAGGGATGAGGACTGTGAAGGACATAGTGTCTGTCCACTACGGCAGACTTGACAAACACTGAACAGTTAGACTGCACCCATTTCATAAAACATGAGATTCAATCAAGCACAAGAGACAAGGTGCCATCAAGAGGAGCAGTCAACATGAGATGCCCGAGGCTGCTACCCGTGGAACACGACTATTCCACAGCAGGCTTTTCATACGTAGAGAGCATGCTCCACAATAATGATTAAAAACTATTGCCATAGTAAATACATAAACAAGTAAGTCTGGACCATGGTATCACGTATGTACTGCACTGCGCAGGTTTGCTTACACCAGCATCATCAGCCATGAGCACTGCATTGTGCTACAACTCATCTCTCCAGAACTACGACATAAGCTCCACTGTCCTTGTTCACTGTTGCACTCGGCATCTAGAGCAGTGCTAACTAAACATACAGTGGGGTTTCAATAAACACTTTGGGAACAGTTGTTTTAAAGGCAATGGTGTGCTCCTTAGTCCTCAAGACAGTGATTCTGTTGTTTCAACATCACAGTGACAGGAATTTGTCAGTTCCATTATAATCTTATGGGACCACTGTCATATACAAGGGTCTGTTATTGACTGATAGGTCATTATGCAGAGCATAACTGTATGCATACGTAGAATACTAGTCAGTAATAAAAATACATTCATTTTGAGATTAACATGGATGAACCTCAAAAACAATATTGAATGAAAGTTAAAAATATATACTGAGGTAATATGTATATAAATTCAAAAACAGGCAAAACTGCTCTGGCCGGGTGGTTCAGTTGGATGGAACATCATCTTGTACACCAAAAGCGTTGTGGGTTCGATTTCCGGCCAGGGCATATACCTAGGTTGCAGGTTCAATCTCTGGTCCAGGTGTGTGCAGGAGGCAACATGTTGATGTTTTTCTCTCACACTGATATTTCTCTCTCTCTCTCTCTAATCAATAAACATGTCCTCCGGAGAGGATTAAAAAACAAAAGAAAACAGGCAAAACTAAAGAGTTCATTGGGTAGAGATACACTGTTGGAAAAATTAAGAAGAAAAAAACAGAGAAAAGTTACCACAAAAACCATGATGGTGAATATTTTTGAGAGAGTGAGACTATGTCATCAAGGGGCACACAGAAGGCCTTGCATGAGTAATGTTCTATCTCCTCGCCTGGGTAGCTGGTGCCCTGGTGTTTGCTTCATCTTTCTGTACTTTTATTTTACAACAGAAAAATTAATCACATTTTCATTTTATTTTTGGTAATAAAATACTTTATTGGTACCATTTAATGTCAAAAACATGGTAATGTTTCCATTGCTTAGCTTCCATTTTTAAATTAAAAGCTAGTTTAAAGAAGAAAACAGGAGAAAAGAGAAAATCATATTTGATTCTGTCAAAGAACAAGCTGAATTTTACCACTGCAAATAATTCAGTTCCCTCACTTTTCACAATACTTGTATATAAAAGGAGAAAATGGCTGAAAAATTTTGCACAGAACATTTTACACACCTTAACAAAAAAGCCTAAGTGCTATCCCAACTTAAAACTCATAATAATTGGTAAGAGTTATTATAAAATTGAATTCATGTAGCACCAAGAAAGTTGGAATTTATATTATTTCAGATGGTTTGATTTACTGAACCAAAAGAATAATAATTTTTCTTTTGAGGTTTTTCAGAGGATTATATACAAATAGAAAGAATACAACACAGGTCCCTTTTCAAAAGCCAAAGATTCAAAAACCTGTGCATGTTTTTAACCGTATCTTGAATTTCTGGATCTAGCAATTGACCCTATGATAAAAGATCCATGTATGATAAATAACATAGTAGAGTCCTATCTGAATATAATTTCTTATTCATCTTGTCTCATTAATATAATTTATACCTCAAAACATCATTCTATCTGCAATATATATCTCTAAAATATTCTGTAATTCAGATTTCCATTCCCATTCATACTACTTCCCTTTTTCTCAAATCAGTGTGATCTTATGGTATACCTCACTAAATTGTTTTTTTCTCTTCCTTCAGTGAAACTCTCAACTCAAAGTATTATAATAATGCAAATACATATGTAGCATATATTAACTTATTAGGAGAAACAGACAGTGAATACACATGGACCTATGCTAAATGAGACAATACAAAACAAAACACACAGTACCATGCCATGCTCATCTATTCTGAACCACCCACCCCTATGGGCCCTGATAGAGCCCAGGCTCATGTCAAGTGATGCTCTCAGACACCACTAGTGTCCTGTACTCCAACACAACTAAATGTCTGTTAAGATGTTTCCATGTTGATTTCAGTTTGTTCAAAGTAGACTACAGCAACTTGGACTTCTAATCCCAAATATGATGACAAAGTTATAATACTTTATATTTTTAATCAACATAGATTTTAATCTAAGTATTTCCTATTATTACTCATTTGTTTAAAAAGACATTTAGGGGACTAAGAAATATGAAGTTAAGAAGTTTTTATTTGTCTTCTCTTAAGTGACTGAGGATTTCAGATGTTATGTGATTATCCCTTGCTTCACTCAAAAAGGATTCTTCAAGCAACTGACCAAAGATCTTCATTTAAAAACCAAGCAAGTGCCCTGGCTAGGTGGCTCAGTAGGTTGGAGCATCGTCCCCTATACCAAAAGGTTGTGGGTTTGATTCCTGGTCAGGGCACATACCTAGGTTGCGGGTTTAATCCCTAGTCAGGGTGCACATATGGAAGGCAACAAATCAATGTTTCTCTATCACATTGATGCTTTTCTCTCTCCCTCCTCTCTCTAAAATAAAAATTAAAACAAACAAAAAGAAACCAAGCAAGCTGACTCAGTGGTTGGCGGGTGAAGAAACCCTGTCCACACACTCCATCCGTAACTCTTCATCTCTGTGGGAACGGGATGCTCCTTCTTTGCCATCATCAAAACACATTCCATCCCTTAGCCCAGATGCAACCAGGACACATCAGAACATGGGCGCAGAGTAGAAAGTAACTCAAAAGCACTTTGGGACCAAACACCAAATTTCGATTTATCAATGATTCCACAGTGCAGTCTTCTCACAAAACAGGCTTTGCATTGAAACAGTTGCTTTTTCTTCTCATATGAAGTTAAACTGCTAAGGTAAAGTAGTATCAAAAAGAGTACAGAAGATAAGCATGTCTTCTCTGAAAGAGGCACTGCATCTGGAACTGGAATTAAGGCTAAATAAATAGTGCTGGTTTGTGGTTTGGCACTGGTTTATGGTTCAGACTAATGTGTCAACGGTTATGTTAACCAACAGCTTCGCTATTTGTCCTGTACGCCTGTTTGCGAAGATGCGTCTCTATCTCTTCCCTGAAGACCAGCATTCCCATGTGCGAGTGAGAGGCTTCGTTCATGGCTTTGGACTGGATGCACATGCGGTACTGCTCGGGGGTCAACTCATCAGCACAGCGCTTCTCATGCCAGAGGTGGAAAAGACCAGGAACTGGAGTCCGGATCACAATCAAGTCGCCATGTAAGTATTTTCGATAAAGATGAACATCTTCTCCACCCCAACCTTTAACTTCCATGTCAAATCCACCTGTAAGATCAAAATTAACACTCAAAGTAACTGCCTGGCAGCCAGAACACATAAAACCTGACAATGATTTAAACATTCCACTTTAAATGAGATGGCATGGTTTACAGAACAAACACTTGATGTTGAGGATCAATGCCCTGGTTTGGAAGTCCCACTTACCAGATCGCATCTAGGAGCTCAAGGTCTGTTGTTGAAAGTATCAAAATGAAATTAAATACATACTTGAAACTGCTTTGAAAACTTCAAAGATTTATAGAAAATCTTTAGAAAGTGAAGGAGAAAAATATAAATCACCCATAATCTTACCACCATTAAATATCTTATTGCATTTTCTTTCTATCCTTTGAAATGCAAATTTTTCTGGGTAACATAAAACTTACCAGAGGGAAACATAGAAGAAATGGCTAAGCTGGAGACACAAATTTGAGAATGAGCGCACAGATGATTTAAAGCAGTGGTTTTCAACCTTCCTGATGCCGTGACCCTTTAATACAGTTCCTCATGTTGTGGTGACCCCCAACCATAAAATTATTTTTGTTGCTACTTCGTAACTGTAATTATATGTAAGTTTGTAACTAAACTACAGAACAATAATCATCATTCAGAATCACCTGACATAAAATATATTTATTTTGCTACTGTTATGAAATGCCATTGGAAATATGTGTTTTCCGATGGTCTTAGGTGACCCCTGTGAAAGGGTCGTTCGACCCCCAAAGAGGTCGCAACCCACAGGTTGAGAACCGCTAATTTAGAGCCACAAGGAATGGATGAAATAACTGGTTTATAAGAAAAGCAGAGCCTAGATCTAAATGCGAAAAAATGTCAATATCTAGAAGTTTAGTAGGCAGAGAAAGATAAGTCAAGAGACTGAGAAATGGCCCCAAAGGAAGGAGAAAATTCTATTGAATGCACTATCACCATGGATGAGTGAAGTGTCTTGAGAAACAAACAGTGAAGTATGTGCAGCTGCTCAGTTAAGAACATAAAGAGAACAAAGCAGACCTGGTATCATAAATGTCACACATAACCTCACACAGAATTCTGATGGAGTGACAGGGTAGAGTGCTACCTAGAGGAGGGCACAAGAAATGGGAGTTAAACTTGAGACTCGTTTGAGCTGAAAAAAAAAAAATCTTTTTAAAGAAGCAAAGAGAACACAAATAATTTTGAGTTTTTTGAAGAGCTATAAGTTTCTTAAATACTGAGAAATATCAATTCATTTATTAAGAGCTATGTTTCCAAATTGTCTTCTGTCAAATAATTCTATACCACTTAATTTCACTCTCATAGGATGAAAAGTAATCTGGAGATCTCTAAAAGGCATTACTTAAAATAGTCACAGCTTTACTAACTGCTATGTCTGATACATCTGGGCTTTTCCTCCTTGCAGAAACAAATAAGCTCTTCATATGTTAGAGATGGTGTAGATACTTAAAATAAATGGGGGACTTGCAGTTTCTGGTTCAGCACTCTGTCCTAACAACAAATTTAAAAAGCCAAACAAATAAAAAAATCAACAACTGTCTCAGACTCCTCAGAGAAATAAGGTCACAGGGCAAATTGCTGTATGCTCCCCTCCCCAAAGTGGAGACACATGGTAGGTGGGTAGGACAGAATCACAACTATTAGAGCAAAAACCTATGAATAGAAATCTCCAGGGGAACTAATGCAAAGGTAGGAAAATCTCAGCTGTTAATTGAATTGCCAGAGGCTCAACTCCAGGAGGGCCTATTCACAGGCATGCCCTACACTTACTTTTATGAGTTTTATCTCTAGGAGCTCTACCAGGCTCTAACAGTGAAGATGGAGGAAAAAATCCCCTATGGTTTCCAGCAGAGGGAGTAGAAAGTAAGAGTTCTGAAACACGCCAGAGCATTTTGTTCTTCTTAATAACTTGGGGAAAAGGATATACCTAACTCCAGCCCACTTTGGCCCTCCTGTCCCACTTTAGATGAGAAACACTTGTGAAGTTCATGGTCTAGATGCACCTCTTCTCCCAAAGCCCACCACCACATTACTAAAAACCTATTTACTGTAGATTCCTTTACCCAATACATCATGTCCAGCTATAAAGAAAACACTAGGCATATTAAAAAGCAAAAACAAACAAACAAACAAACAAAACAGTTTGAAGAGGCAGAGCAAGCATTAGAACCAGGCTCACATATAGCAGGGATGTCAGAATTATCATAACTGTCTGAGGAATAGGGTAGACCCAGAAACATGGAAGTAGGGTACAGACTGACAACCCTCAGAAGAGGGAGTGGTGGGGGGTGGGAAGAGATAAACCACAGAACTTATACCCATGTATGCATAACCAATGGACATGGACAACAAAGCCAGGGACAGGGTGGGGGTGGGGGGGGAAGGATGTCAATGGGGTAAAAAAGGAGAAACATCTGTAACAAAAATAAAATTAAAAATAAAATAAAAAGAATTATCAGACTGAGAATTTAAAACAACTATGATTAATATGCTAAAAGCTCTAATGGAAAATGTAGACAACATACATGAGTAATATAAAAAGAGAGAGATTATAAGAAAGAATAAAAATTAAATGCAAAAGACAAAAAGAAATGAAACAGGGTGGGGGGGTGGGAAGAGATAAACCACAGAACTTATATGCATGTATGCATGACCAATGGACATGGACAACTAAGCCGGGGACAGGGTGGAGGGGGGGTGGGGTGGGGGGTGCCAATGGGGTAAAAAGGTAAAATATCTGTAACAAAAAAATAAATAAATAAAAAAAAAATTTCAAAAAAAAAAAGGTAAAAAAAAAAAAGAAATGAAACAGAAATGAAGACTGTCCCGCTCAATAGGACAGTAGCATAAAATTGGCTGAGGAAAGAATCTTTGAGGTTGAGGACATGTCAATAGAAAACTCCAAAACTGAAACGCAAAGACAAAGAAGACTGGGAAAAACAAAGAAACAGAACAGAATATTTAAGAACAACAGGGCAACTATAAAAGGTGTAACATACAGCCTGGCTGGTGTGGCTTGGTGGATTGAGAGTCAGTTTGATTCTTGGTCAGGGCACATGCCTGGGTTGCAGGCTCGATCCCTAGTAGGGGGCGTGCAGGAGGCAGCTTATCAATGTTTCTCTCTCATATCGATGTTTCTATCTCTCTCTCCCTTCCTCTAAAAAAATCAATAAAAACATATTTAAAATAAATAAAATAAAAAGTGTAACATTCATGTAATGGGAATACCAGAAGGAGAGGAAAGAAAGAAAGGAACAGAAGCTCCAAATGAAAGAGGCTAAATTCCAAATAAGTACCCCTGAGGAAATGAACTCCTTTTCTCACCAGCCAACATTCATAGGGTGAAAGCTGCACTTGGGGAGGGAGTGAGGCCCTAATGCCCCCATCCAGTGTCCTGCTCAAAAGGCAGGGGTGCCACTCTGAGATAAGTGTGTCAATGTCTTCCAACCCAGCTCTAATCAGAAGCTGAGATTTTTTTCCAAGGGAAGAGACAGTCCACAGAACAAAGTGCTCCAAAGCTCTTCCCAAAGAAACTGACTTTATTTGAAATACAGTGTGCAGAAGTTTAAGTCTAAAGGGGCTCTTGAAAATAAAGGAGATTTTATTGGTAACAATTAAGAGGAGACTGGTGGCTCCATTAGAGTGATAAGCTAAAATACAGGCCAGCTAGTTTACTACTGAGAAACAGGGAAAGAGGTAAGGAGAGCTAGCTGTACTGGGGTCTGAACAAGCTTAAAAGACTAGTCTCAAAAACTACCCTGTAAAAGGGCTCAATATAATTGGGTCAGACTGTGACTCCACAGAACCAATTTCTACCCCAGAGCACGATCACCATGACAGCAATCAACAAATAGGAGTGATACTAACAGAGACACTGAAGGAGACACAGCACCCTGCTAAATCTAATTTCATTCCAGGATGGTGGTGCACATGCCCTGAGGAGTAATATGAGAGGCTTCATATTGCAAGGGGGCACAGGGTCAGGAGATAGAATTCTTCAAAAATAGTAAAACCAAGTCAACAAATAAATGAACAAACAAAAACAAAACAAAAAACAAGCCCTGGAGGCACGGGGTAATCAATATTCAGAACTGACACAATATATTTCCTAAAATGCCCAGTTTTCAAACCAAAAATTATGAGGCATGTAAAGAAAAAGAGAAGTTTGACCCACATACTCACATACCAGAAAAAAAAGCAGAAAACAAAAAATGTCTGTGAGAGGGCACAAAGTTTTCAAAACAACCATTATAAGTATGTTCAAAGAATTAAAATACACCAGGCTTAAAGAAGTAACAAAATATTTTTAAAAATAAGGTAAGATGATAATGTAAAGAGATATTTTATAACAATAGCACCAAATGGAAATTCTAGACTGAAAAAGTGTAACTCAAATAAAAAATTCATTAGAGCAGCTCAACAGTAGACCTGAACCAAAAAAAGAAAGAGTCAACAAACTTGAAGACAAATTCAGAGTACACAATCCAAAGAACAAAGAGAAAAGAATGAAGAAAAATGAACAGTCTCAGAGAAATATGGAACACCATCAATTGTACTAACATATGTCTAACAGGAATATAAGGAGAAAACAGTAAGACAGGAGCAGTTAAAAACAGAAGTAAGATAGCACCGACAGATCCTCATTGCTTCATTAAGCAAGAAATCATGGAAAAGGGCATTAGTTTCCTTGAATAGTCTTCATTGCTATTTGCTGATTTTCAATCATTCAATTGTTACAATAATAAAGAAACAAGCCTGGCCGGTTTGGCTTAGCGGTTAGAGCATCGGCCCGTGGACCAGAGAGTCCCGGGTTTGGTTCCCACTAAGGGCACATACCTTGGTTGCAGTTTGTTCCCGGCCTTGGCTGGGGTCCTGTGGGTGGCAACCAGTCGATGTGTCTCTCTCACATTGATGTTTCTCTCTCTTCCTCCCTCTCTTCCTCCTGCTCTATCTGAAGATAGATACAAAAATGTCCTTGGGTGAGGATAAAGAAAATAATAATAATAAAGAAA